CCCCTGTGTGCCTGAAGCAGAGGTGGTCAGAAATGATCTTTATTTTGTGGATCTCATGTAAATTTGCGGAAGGAAAAAGAAAAAAACAACCCAAAATGACTCAATCGAGCCGTGCAACAAGTTTCCAGCCCCCATATGAGCTGGAAACAAAAAAAGGGGTACGGGGCTGAAATGAACCCCCCCATTTGTAGACTTTATGGATCCGTCACGGTGCGTCGTTGGTCTGATCGGTTTCTGGAACTGTGTGGGAAACCCTGTTTCAGCCCATGGGGAGAGGGCACTGGGATGGGGGGGTTTGGGGGTGTCCACTGGGAAGCAACTGTCACCGTCTGGGAGGGATTGAGTGTTGCCTCTGACCTTTTCTGGGCCGGTTGAGCCGGAGAGAGAGCGACAGGAAGGGGCCAAGTGTGGGAAAGTTGAAGCTTTGTGGTTGTTGTTGAAGTCGGGAGGACCCGCTCTCGTCCTCCTCCTCCGGACGGGGAACGCGGCTTTAAATGGACATTTTACTCCGTGAAGGTCACCATGACAAACGGTAGGTGTTCGGGTTATTTTTAGACTGGCCTGTCTCCTCGTGGCTCAATGTCGGGTCTTCAGGAACAACTTCACCGTTCTTCCCACACAGTTTGAATTCGGTCCCGTTCGGTTCGGGTCGTTTGGGGCTTTCTGCCTCCAGTCGCTGCTCTCAGTGGGTCCCTGAGTTCTGACCCGCTGGGAGGGGCCGTCTGAACGCTTCAGCAGGTGTGTTTTAGCCCGTTTGTGCACCTGGGCTGTCCCAGGGGAGAATTAAAGAGGCAACGCTCTGCTGGCGACTGCTCTGAAATCCATCTGGAAGCGTCCTGTAACCATCTGTAGATTTCCTTGCATTTATTTATTTATTTATTTAATCAGGACAGTGCACATTAATGAACAATCTCATACAGATTGTAAATGAGCCAGATTATAGCATCGTTGCTAGTTTACAACTGTAGTCCTCAGGCAGTAAAACCAAACAACACAAAATCACAAAATACAAAATCAGTCCAAACACACGTTCAGACAATGACATTACAAAATTAATTCAATTCAATTCAATTTTATTTATATAGCGCCACATCACAACAACAGTTGTCTCACAGCGCTTTCCAAACAGAGCAGGTCAGACCCTACTCTGAAGTTAACTACAGAAACCCAACAGTTCCCACCATGAGCAAGCACTAGGCGACACAGGCAAGGAAAAACTTCCTTTTAACAGGCAGAAACCTGGAGCAGAACCATGGCTCAGGGTGGGCTTTTTAGTTGACTTATCCAGTGGCCATTACAGTCAGATACTGTAGTTTCTCCCTCATCTGATCTTGATAATATCAACATCCCTATTGCTTACTGTCACTATGACGAAGCATCGATACGGAACAAGGACCAGAATCTGTTTTCAGTTCCTGTTCTGCCTTATTGCTGACTTTACCTCTACCTTTTCTTTCCCAGATGTGTTTGTGGACTGGAAGCAGAACGTGAACGAGGTGACCGTCCGGCTGCGCTGCGGGGAGGGCGTGCAGAGGAGGGAGGACATCAGCACCACCTTCACAGACACGCACTGCAACGTGTCCTTTCCAGGTAAGGAGAGGGAAAACCAAAGCCTGTGTGAAACAAAACGGATCCCGGACTCAGAGTCGGGCCTTTGTGAACCTGCCCCCCTCTCTCAGACGGACGGCAGTGGAGCTGCCAGCTGCAGGAGGAGATCGAAGCCTCGTGTAGCAAAGTCCAGTACAAGGAGAAGGCTGGGTTCCTGCACCTAATCATGCACAAGAAGATCCCCTTTCACATTTGGCCTTCTCTGAAGGTGAGTCCGTTTCCTGTCTTCACTTGCATTTCGCTGGGCTCAGATTAGTCTGTTTTTGTGAATAATTTAAAAAGCTTTTGGGTGTAATGGTCGTTTTATTGGGTGGCATGATGAGAAGGTGTGTCACAAAAAGGTAGAGAGCCACTTGGTCACATAGAAGTGTTGTGCACCAAACACCAAGGCAAATTCCTTGTAAGTCTAAAAACCTACTTGGCAATAAACCTTATTCTGATTCTGATTCGGATTTTTCTTGTTCTCCATCAGTCGAACAAGAAAGAAAAGGAGGCGGCAACCGCCGGGTCCCAATCCGAGACGAAGGCCCCGTCCCTGGAGACGCCCGATAAAGCCAAACTCTCCTCGCCACAGTTCCCCCCCAGGCCTCCCTCCCCGCCGCCGCACGGCGAGGCGAGACGGAACGGGGGCAAAGCCGAGCGGGGGGTCAAGCGCTGCCTGAAAAACAAACCCGCCGACAAGCCCGCCGCGGAGCCCGCCGGGGCCCAGAGCGCCGCGGGGGACGGGGACGGCCCCCCCGCCCGGCTGCCCAGGGCGGTTAAAGAGCCCCAGAGGGACCTGACCCCCGCCAGGTCCGCTGAGGAAAGGGGCGGAGCCACACAGCCGCCGGCCGACCCGGAAACCCCCCCCACCAGCAGAGCCCAGGTGAGGTCAGCCGGCCTTTTGGGTGCTCCAGCTGGACTTTTTAAACCCAAACTGTTTGTTTTTGTTGTTTCAACAACACACACCCAGCATGTCAGTGTTTGCCCTTATGGATAACCAGAAAAATGAGGTCAAACATAACCCCGGGGGCTTTTCATAACTTTAAACTTTGTCTTTTTTTAACTTGCCCAGTGACCAAATATCTGTGGCCTTTCCAGACCAGCAGGTTCAGTCTGTTCAAAGGACTTTAAATGAGTGGAATTTTTTACTAACTGTAAACAGGAAATGTAGTCACTGTAACCTGGTTAGGAGATTAAAGACTCACTCTCTTATAGGTTACTTACTTTAATTAGCCATTTTGTGAAGTGGGAACATTGTGTTTAAAACCATGGTAGGATTTTTTTTCGGGTCATTTCACAGATTCAACGTGTTACGGCCTGATAAAAAAAATTCCAAGAGCAGGAAGGCTTTTTAGTCACCTGTCAACTGAAACCTTTTATTTTTCAGCCTCTGAACAAACCGGAAAAATCAAACGGAAAGCCTAAATTATTCCCTTTGCTCAAACATGCAAACGATTGAAATAGTTGATGCAACACTCAAATCCCAGCGCAACAGAAAAGGCTGCACGTGCCCTCAGGTTGTTGGTAACAGCACACAGGTTAGCTGTGTTTTTATTTACATGCGGAGGAATGTAAATGAGCTGTTAGAGCTGGAGGGGGCCGCTCAGGTAAACATGAGCCGTCCTAAAAAGAAGACACCTGTGTCCATCATCTGTTGTATATCGACCCGTTTTCACATTTGTTCATGTCACAAATGGTCAAATTACAGATACTGAAGTATTAACGGAATCATTGATAATAATAGATTTGTTATTAAGAAGCAGAGGGGTTTGAAAAAAAGTCTTTTCAGCATATTTTTAGCATGTTATATAATTTTCGATACTTAAGTATTAAGTATTAATACTTAAGTATTAAGTATTAAGATACTTAAGTTTTAACGGAATCATTGATAATAATAGATTTGTTAACAAGCAGCAGAGGGGTTTGAAAAAAAATATTTTCAGCATTTTATATAATTTTCGATACTTAAGTATTAATACTTAAGTATTAAGTATTAAGATACTTAAGTATTAACGGAATCATTGATAATAATAGTTTTTTTAATAAGCAGCAGAGGGATTTGAAAAAAAAAGTATTGTCAGCATATTTTCAGCATGTTATATAATTTTCGTATTTTTCCTTTTTTATTCAGTCGGTAGAGAAGAGGGACCACTCCTCGGACGCAGCCGAGGCCACAGACGACCGGCCAGCGGCTCCGGTCAGCACCGGTCACCGGCCCGACGACCGGGCGGACCCCCCTCCCCCCCAAAGGCAGAGGGACCGGACAGACTCCGGGCCGGGCAGGAAAACCGGCGATCACCAGTCGGGACGGGAGCCTTCAACCGGCCACCGGCCGGGATCCCCAGAGCGGCCGCCCGGACCCGCTGTCCACCCTCCGGCCGGCCGGAGCCCGTCTCCAGACCCGACTCCTATCCAGAGCAGCCTGGAGGGAGAGGAGAAGCGGGACCAGTCGAAGGAGGAGCCGCCTCTGGAAATGAAGCCGCCGGACGGTCGGTTTAGCTTCATCACGACGTCCGAACGCGTTCTTAAAGGACGTGTCTGTTAGGGATGGGACGGTTTCTGAAAACCCTCCGAACCGTTCGGTTCGACTGTCTCGGTTCGGTTTGTGTGTGTTGCGTTCGGTTCAAGCGCTGCTCCTTTTTCTCAGAGGGAAGCGTTTTCACTCCAGAGCAGAAGGGGGCGCTACTACGCCCAAAGCCAACCACCAGTAGGAAACAAGAAGAAGAAGAAGCAGCGTAGCCGATAAAAATCCGACCACCAACAGCAGTTTCTAGGTCTGCTGTATGGACCAGTTTGCATTTAGAGGGAAGCACATGTTGGAATTACCACTGTTTCCTCTCTGGCAATGCCAGAATCTCACCTACTTTTAACCTAAGACTGTCACAATAATGTATCAAATGTCAGACTACTTTTTTCTTTCAGTTTTAACCTGATAATACAAGACATAATAGATTTTTCCTAACAATCAACATATACCGAACCGAACCGAAAACCGTGACCACGAAACCGTGAATCGAACCGAACCGTGGATTTTGTGAACCGTCCCACCCCTAGTGTCTGTACAGTGGATGTGTGCGTTAGTGTGTAAATACTGTGTTTGTGCGTCTCCTGGCAGCCCCGGAGCCGATGGTCAACGTGCAGAACGTGAAGAACGACTCGTACGAGAAGGGCACGGACCTGATGGTGGTCAACGTCTACATGAAAGGGATCTGCAGGGACACGGCCAGAGTCCTCTTCAGAGAGCAGGACTTCACGCTCATCTTCCAGACCAGGTGGCCCCTGTTTAACGAACATTCCCCACACGGTGTGTCAGCCTTTTCCAAAAGACAACAGATTAACCCTCCTTTTTCTTTTCTTTTTTTTTTAATGCAGCGATACAAACTTTCTCCGCCTTCATTCGGACTGTGGATCCAACACAGTTTTCAAGTGGCAAGTCAAACTCAGGTGGGTGTTGTGGTCACAACTTTGAGTTTAACCCTATAATGCCAAATGTATCATATTTGATACATACGGTTTCTGAAATGTTCTACACCTGACTCCTTTTGCATAATTTAATGGTAAAAACTTTGCTCAAAATCCTATTGTACACAATGAGATACACTTGATAACAGGGGGCAGAAAACTACACAAAAATTAATCTGGACTTATTGCATATTAATAAATTATTAATATTAAAAATGTATTTCTGTTTTTTCTTTTTACATATTTTGTTAAAAGGCCAAATAAAGACTACAAACCAAAAAAAGTAATTTTCTGTTTTGTTTTATTCTTGGATCAGGCTTTAAAGGGTGTGGTTCATATTAAAAAGAAGAAAAAAAGATTATTTAGATGAGCCATAAAGTTAAGGCTGAGACTTGAGTGGAGCTCCAGCTGCTCTTTACTATGTTTCTGTAGCCATAAATCCTTTAAAAGCGTCAGTTGTTTAAGGTCTCCAGACGTAGGTGAGAATGTTCCGGCGTGGGTCTCTGAGAGCTGAGCTGAGTCTGACCCCGCTGCCCTCCTGGCCCCTGTGTTTCAGGAACCTGATCCAGCCCGAGCAGTGCAGCTACTCCTTCACCCCGTCCCGCCTGGACATCTCGCTCAAGAAGAGGCACAGCCAGCGCTGGGGGGGCCTGGAGGCCCCCGCCACACCAGGTCTGCTGCCAGGTTTCTACCTAATTTTGGATTTCATTGCAACTCGTTGCTGTTGCGCGCCGAGTGTGTGGCGGGCCAGAAGCTAAGTGGCGGGTAGCGATGTGGGACTGCTGACCTGCGGCCCCTCTGACCACAAGCTCCTTCGTCCTGTTTAAGGTGCAGTGGGGGGCGCCAAGGTGGCCGTGCCTTCCAGCCCCGCCTGCCTGGAGAAGAGCCCGCCGGGCAGCAGCCAGCACAGCCTCCCGGCCAAGGAGGAGCCCCCGCGCGTCGGGGAGGACCCCCCCAAAGCCCCCAAGGCCCCCCCCCGGGGGGTGGACGACGCCGGCCTGGACCCGGTCGGCCCCCGCTCCGTCTCCGAGCACGTCGCCATCCCCAAGCCGGAGCCCGCCGTCGCCATGGTGAGAGACGAGGGCCGAGGGGAGGTTAGCGGTTACACGGACGGCCACAAAACAAAAGGCGGATAAAAGGGAAAGGATGGAGGAAAGAGGAGTGAATTGGGTGTTTGTTGTTTCCCGCCTCAGCCCAAGCCGACCTGCATGGTGCAGCCCATGACCCACGCACCCCCCGCCAGCAAGGAGCGCCACGAGGAAGAGGAGGAGAAGAAGGTGTGCCTGCCTGGTTTTACAGGGTTGGTCAACCTCGGCAACACCTGCTTTATGAACAGTGTCATTCAGTCCCTGTCCAACACCAGAGAACTCAGGGATTATTTTCATGGTAACTAGTGAATTTAACTACTATTTCTTTTTCCCCTTGAACACAGACAAAAAAAAAAAAAGAAAGCTGTAAACCTCGGGACCTTGCCGTCATAAAGCTTATTTGATCTCTCGCACTGCTGCCAAAAATGGAAGTCTGCATTACTGCTAAGATGTTTTTGTTTTGCCGGGGGGGTAAAAGCACAGACTGGGTCCCCGGGGGCAGGTTTAATGAGGACTCTTCCCTCTAACGGGCTTTATCTTCACACTCCAGATACACTGTGGTTAAAACGCTAAAACAATTTAAAGTCCTGAAGTAATCACAGAGAAATGTAGGTCACCCTGTTCTCGGAGGGGATTTTAATTGGCCTGGAGGTGATCAAAACATAAATCTGTGTCAGTTAAACAATAGCTGATAAAAACCTGCCATCGAGCAGAAGTACTGGAGCATATTCTTTGTAGATTTCTGAGCACGACAGGAAGTACGTGTTCTGTTTCCGTGTGCTCCCAGTGTTGAGTGTTTTGGGTTTTTTTGAGGGTGTTTGTTTTGCGTCCGTGCTCATTCATAGGAAGGAGCTCCCACTCAGACCAGTGGATGCTATTCACTTTCGTTTTCTGATGAAGCCCGCGTTTGCCTCGCAGATCGAGCGTTCGAGGCTGAAATCAACTGCAGCAACCCTCTGGGGACGGGAGGCCGGCTCGCTATCGGCTTCGCCGTGCTGCTCAGGGCCCTCTGGAAAGGCACGCACCACGCCTTCCAACCATCCAAACTCAAGGTACAAACAAAGACCCCTTTTCTCTCTCTCTCTTTTCGATACCGCCTAAATGTTTCCCCTTCTCTATAACCATCTTTGTCTGAAGAATTTGATTCCATTTCGAGTCGTTTTGAGTAATTCTCCATGTTTGGGTGTCTTCGCCCAGGCGATCGTGGCCAGCAAAGCCAGTCAGTTCACGGGCTACGCGCAGCACGACGCGCAGGAGTTCATGGCCTTCCTGTTGGACGGACTCCACGAGGACCTGAACCGCATCCAGAACAAACCCTACACGGAGACGGTGGACTCGGATGGACGGCTGGACGAGGTCAGCGAGGCGTCGTGGAGCGATCCGATAAAAGAAATGACCCGTTCTTTACCGACTCTGCTGGACTCTGTGTGTTGAATGTCCCGTTTTGCAGGTGGTGGCAGAGGAGGCGTGGCAGAGGCACAAGATGAGAAACGACTCCTTTATCGTGGACCTTTTCCAGGGCCAGTTCAAGTCCAAGCTGGTGTGCCCCACATGCTCAAAGGTAACGCGACATTCTGTCAAACTTCTGCTTCAGCCATGAAAAAACATTCCTTCTCTTCGTTTTAAGCTCTCTGTGTTCTTTTTTCCAGGTGTCCATCACCTTTGATCCCTTCCTGTATCTACCCGTCCCGTTGCCCCAGAAACAAAAGGTGCTCTCCGTCTTCTACTTTGCTAAGGAGCCTCATAAAAAACCCATCAAGGTAAGATGATATCCTCGGCCTCCACCTCCCGCCCAAACGAATGTCGTAGCTAGGCGACAACGTTAAAAGTGATCAAATTTTTACCTTTAAAAAAAAAAAAAAAAAAAAATGGTATGTGACTTTTTATTTGTTTGTTCTGTAGTTTTTGGTGAGTGTGAGCAAAGAGAACTCCAGCACGGCCGAGGTTCTCGAATCCATCTCCAGGAGTGTGAGGGTCAAACCTGAGAACCTCAGACTGGCCGAGGTTTGACATTTAAATCAATGTGGAAAGCATTTTTTTCCATACCTCAAAATGTGGGCTTTCGTGTTAGAGAAACCCTTAGAAATGAAGAACAATCCCAAGCTGTAATTAGATGCTCATAAAAACTTTGTTATCACCCGACAGGTGGGGAAGAACCACTTTCAGCGGATTTTTCTGCCGTCCCACTCCCTGGACACGGTGTCCCCCTCAGACATGCTGTTCTGCTTCGAGGTGCTTTCCAAAGAACTGGCCAAGGAGCGAGTGGTGCTGCTCCGAGTGCAACAGGTAAAAAGCAAAAAAAAAACAACAAGATACTTTGTACTTTCCCACAATCCTTTTCACGTAGCGTCTTTAAAAGAGGCTGAAATTCCCCCTCTGGTCGCCTCACAGAAACTCCAGGTGCCCAACATCCCCATCTCAAAGTGTGCCGCCTGCCTGAAGCCTCCGGTGTCTGAGGAGGACAAGCTGAAGCGCTGCACCCGCTGCTACCGAGTGGGCTACTGCAACCAGTGGGTGTCCGCCATGTTGTTTTCTCTCTTGATTCCTAAATCTGCAGAAACGTTTTAGGCAAACGACTCCCTCGAGTCATCAATCCGTCGACTTTCCCCTCCTCCCAGAGCGTGCCAGCGGACCCACTGGCCCAACCACAAGAGCCTGTGCCGGCCCAACTCTGAGAACGTGGGGCTGCCCTTCCTGGTCAGCGTTCCCGAGTCCCGGCTCTCCTACGCCCGCCTGAGCCAGCTGCTGGAGGGCTACTCCAGGTAGACTCCTCGTTTTAAGCGATTACGTACAGACCGGGCTGTGACGGGTCATTAGTTTAACCCTATAATGCCAAATGTAGCATATCTGATACATACGGTTTCTGAAGTCTTTTGGATCTGAGACTTTTTGCATTATTCAGTGGTAAAAGCTTTGCTCAAACCCCTGTTGTACACATTCAGATATACCTGATAACAGCAAGTAGAAGACTACACCAACATATATTTCTGACTCATTGCACGCTAATTTGATCAAAATAATTTCTGTTTTTTTTTTCTTCATATGTTGTTGAGGGGCCAAAGAAAGACTTCAAACTAAAAAAAAAAATCCTATATTCTTCCTATTTTTCTTGGATCGGGCTTTAAAGGGTTAAAGCTTCTTAAAAATAATGGCACTAAAGGAGAAGGAACCTATACAGCCCCTTTCAGGCCTTTGAACCTCTCCTCTGTCCGTCTTCTCCCCCAGGTTTTCTGTAAACGTGTTCCAGCCTCCTTTCCAGTCGGGCCGGACTTCTCCCGAGACGTCCCAGTCTCGGGGCGACCCGCCCTCGGGGCCTTTGGGCCCCCCGGAGGCTCTGGACGAGGCGGTGGGGGGCAGCAGCTCTGCAGCAGGAGCAGACCCAGAGCCTGAGAGCCCCTCCCTGCCTCCTGAGTCCCAGGCCGAGCATGGCCAGGACGCAGCCCCCCCCCCCAGAGACCACGGACTCTCACTCCTCCCAGATCTCGCTCTCCAGCACACGGACTAAAGACTCGGGCTTCTCCGAGTCGATGTCCTCCACCTCCTGCTCCTCCCTGGACCCCCACGCCGAGAAAGAGACGTCCTGTGAGAAAACGGTGCGACCGGAAGGTAAAAAAACTAAACAAAGAAAAATTAGGCGTACACCTCAGCTCCTTCGTTGGTTGGAATCGGTTGGAATGCTTGTGGTGTTTCTCTGTCTGCCTTTTCCAGCTGCAGTAACGGGCTACCAGCAGCCCGGGGAGGCCGCCTCCGGCCACGCCAGCCAGTTCTACATCGCTCTGCTGGACCCGGTCAGCAAGGAGCAGAGGCTGGACGAGAGAGGTGTGAAAACAACCCTTCATATCCCCTTCATTGTTTATTTGGAGTGTCTCTGTTTCCACTGCCAGTGGGGCGGAGACTAGGGTTGTCACGATACTAACATTTTCAACTCGATACCGATACTCGATACCATTTTCGATACCACAAGGATGAAAACAAAGACCCCAAAATTTTAACTGAATTTTGACAGGTTAGTGTCTTTGGTTTCAAACTGACCTATTAATGATGTTACCGCAATAATGACCCTAACCTTAACCCTTCATAATTGTAAGAAATAAATATTTTTTGGTTAAACTTATTTGGACTTATTGTACAAACCTATTTAACATCCACTATTTTAACATAATATTATATATAACGTTTAATTCAGTGTTTGCAAGTTCCATTCCACTATTTTTAAATTAATGTCTATATTGCTATGAAGCAATTACGATTTTCTTGCCTGGGATCTTCCTATTGGTGACCTAATCAAAATGGCCGATTTGGATGTGGGCGGAGTTGAATATCCATCCTTGGGTGGTATCGATACTTTTGAAAATGAGTATGGTATCCGGATACAACGTTTTAGTATCTATACTTTTTTGAGTATCGATACTTTTGTCGACCCTGGCCGAGGCGTGAACCTGCTCTGTACCTGTTTCCACAGAGGGGTTACTCACAGACCTCCCGGAGGACGCAACCCTGGAGCTCGTGTGGAAGAACAACGAGCGTCTTAAGGAGTACGTGCTGGTGAGCTCCAAGGAGCTGGAATACGAGGAGGACCCCGGATCTCTGAGCGAGACGGCCCGGGCCGGACACTTCACGCTGGAGCAGTGCCTGAACCTCTTCACCAAGCCAGAGGTGCTGGCCCCAGAGGAGGCCTGGTAGGTCTGAGGGAACCCTCGAAGGCCAGGGAAACCTTTCCATTAGGGCAAACAAACAAACAAAGAACAAACCACTTCATCTAAACAACACTTTTGTGTTTAATTCCAAACCGGGTCAGATTTTACCAGAGATGTATAAAGTGCTGGAGTAGAGGAGTGCAATAGAAGTACAAGTACTATATAAAAAAAATTGACTGGAGTAAAAGTAGAAGTATTCTTTCAACTCCATACTTAAGTGGATGTACGGAAGTCCTCCATTTTTTTGTACTTAAGTGTTGCAAGTAGAAGTATTTAAAAAATTGCTAGCCAGCTAGGCTAGCTTTAGCTAATGTTAGCTGCTACGTCCTGAGAACTCAACTAGTGCTTATTTACTAGCTTATATGTCATTGTATTTTTTAACTTATGCTTTAACTATATGCTTTTTCAGATTAGATGGGGAATTTCTGAAGGCCATGATTTTGTAATCTTTCGGGAGGCTTTTTTCATTGGCTATACTTGATTGCTCAAATCCCCCAATGAGGAGCCAGCTTCCCAAAACGGGACAGAGCTATCTATCGTTACGTTTACATATCGACGATTCAGCCCGTGAAATAGTAAAAGTATTTAATTAATCAAAAATATGTAGTGGAGTAAAGTAAAGGTAGGGAAAAAAAATATATATCCAATAAAGTACAGATACTGCATTTTGGTCCTTAAGTACAGTACTTAAGTAGTTCTGCTTCGTTACTGAACATCTCTGGATTTTACAAGCAAGTCACTCATGACACAAAACAGTCACAGAGCCTGGGGAGGAGACGTGGGCGTGCTGTTGATCCTTCTTTCTGTTTTCTTTCTCAAAGGTACTGTCCAAAGTGCCAGCAGCACCGAGAGGCCTCCAAGCAGCTGCTGCTGTGGCGCCTGCCCAACGTTCTGATCATCCAGCTCAAACGCTTCTCCTTCAGGAGCTTCATCTGGAGGGACAAGATCAACGACATGGTGGACTTCCCCGTCAGGTGCTCGCAGCAAAAGCACTTCCACTCCTCATTTAACTCATTGACTGCCAGCCATTTTGAGAACAGAGTCCCATACTGCCAGAGTTTTTTGAGCATTTTGACTGATTTTTTTCAAGAGCCACAGAATAGTTTGTGCTATGACTATGTAAACACCGAACACACCAAAAGAAAGGGTAGACTCTCTTCTTTCATCAGGAAAAAAAAAGCGTTTCTACCTTATTCCGTTCTTCCTCGACTTGCGTCTCACCGGCGACATGCTCTCTCATAGCGAACCGTTACCTTTTTCTTATTTGCCTACAGTCTATGCTCATCTCCCATCAAAAGTGGCACTGCCCCCTAGAGGGTCAATCTGTTACTACATACTCTGTCTAGAAGCCTGATATTTACGGACAAGCTTTAGCAGATCGTCCCCCAGCCACTCGAGTTGAAAAACATAAAAGACGTCTATAGACGTCTTTGGCAGCCAATGAGTTAATGGAGGAATGAAATGTTGGATCTTACAAGTAAAACGGGGGACTTATGAGAGAAGCTTTTTTTCTTTCAGGAATCTGGATCTGAGCAAGTTCTGCATCGGCCAGAAGGACGACATGCAGCAGCCGCCCGTCTACGACCTGTACGCCGTCATTAACCACTACGGGGGGATGATCGGGGGCCACTACACGGCCTACGCCCGCCTGCCCAGCGACAAGAACAGCCAGCGCAGCGACGTTGGTAAGCCCCCCGCCGCTAGGCTCCGCCCCCAAGCTCTGATAGGCCGGACCCTATCACCTGCCCCCCGTCCTGTTTCCACTGCCACTGCCTCGCTTTTACCTTTCCCCTTCCTTCCAACCCCCCCATCCCTCCCTCCCTATGCGTCCTTGATGTTGTGATTTTGACTGTATCTGTGCTTTAGTGTACTGAGGTGTTTTTTTTAAATCACTGTTACGTCCCCTGTAGGGGGCGTGGCACTGGGTCTTTTTTTCCCTCCTCCTGCAACCGCTTTCCCAATGTTATTTTGTTCTGAAGAAAAATGGTGCGCCCTCCTGTGTGGCTGCCCTCAGTCTTCCCGAACTGATGTGTCTATTCAATTCAATTCAATTTTATTTATATAGCGCCACATCACAACAACAGTTGTCTCACAGCGCCTTCCAAACAGAGCAGGTCAGACCCTACTCTGAAGTTAATTACAGAAACCCAACAATTCCCACCATGAGCAAGCACTAGGCGACACAGGCAAGGAAAAACTTCCTTTTAACAGGCAGAAACCTCGAGCAGAACCATGGCTCTATGTGTTTTGTTTGTTGGATCTTGGTACGGGCTGTACTGGAAGTCAATTCCTCCCTGGAGATCAATAAAGTATATATTCAATTCAATTAAATTCAATTTAATTTCCAGGCTGGCGTCTGTTTGACGACAGCACGGTGACGATGGTGGAGGAGAGCCAGGTGGTGACGCGCTACGCCTACGTGCTGTTCTACCGCCGGAGGAACTCCCCCGTGGAGAGGCCGCCGCGCGTCCTCCGGCCCGCCGCCGCCGAGGCCGCCGCCGCCGGGGCAACGGCCAGCCAGGTGAGGGCGCCGCCGCCGTCGCCGTGGCAACGCACGGGGGGCCAGCACGTCCTGCCCACAGATGCCCAGCAGGGGCCAGAGTCACTCGGGTCCGGGGACTGTAGGCAGACCTGAGAATAGGTCTGGGCAGTTTTTAGGTCGTGGTCTGAGAAACTGGTTAATTCTGTCTGAAAAAGGCCTCACTCTGATATTTTAGTGCCTCACATCAGCCACTAAGAAGACCGTTTACACCACAGGGGAACTGTTTTTCTCTATTTAATGTTCTGAAATATTTGTAGGCATTCTGTTGGTTTGTGTAAAGTAATTTGGGTCTTTAGAGATGAGTAACCAAACGATCTGTGTAGATTATGTCAGAACACCACGGGGGGTTGATTTGATGTTTTTTTCTTCTCGTCGCTGATGTTTCTCCATTTCATGTAAAAACAAATGCACACTGGAGGTCTCTTATAATCGTTGTCATCATTTTGTTTGAGCGTATTTCATAGAGCTGCTTCATGAGCATTAAGTGTTTAAATGTTTCCTCTCTGCCTCTGTGGGTGTCGGACAGGGCTGTGAAAACACTAAAGCAGAGAGAGCATCTAAAAAAAAGGAAAAAGAAATGGTTTAAGAGCTTTGTTTTTTTTGTTTTTTTGTTCCTTTTTGTCACCACCTGTGAGCTCTGATGTAAAAGCTGTTGTTTTCTGGAGAAAAACAGGCTCTTTTTTTTCAATAAAACCAAAAAAAAAACCTTGTTCTGCTGATTGGAAATATCCTATTTTAGACGGTTTAGATGTGACGGGGATGAGTCCAGAGCCGCTCCCTTCTGCCCGTGGCTGACCCCGGGTGGACGCCGTAGTGTTTGTTAGATGCCGCCTTTCTCCCAGAAGCTGACTCGGGTTTCCGCCAATCGCAGGCCTCTCTGATATGGCGGGAACTGGAGGAGGAAGAGGAGGGGCCGGACGCGGGGCCCCGCGGACCGTTCCGCCCGGCGCCGCGGAGGCCCCCGGCGCCGAGGCCCAGGGACCCCGACGGCCAATCAGAGGGCTCGCTGCGGCGGCGCCGCCGGCCGCGGACCTCGGACTTTCCCGACGACGACTGCGTGCGCTACTTTATTCTGGGCACGCTCACCGCGGTGCTGGCCCTCTTTGTCAATCTGGTCTACCC